CTTCAATTTTTTCACCCCACTAAATAATATTCACGTTTTCTACATGCCCAACATTATGGAGCAAACAAATGGCTTTGTCTGAAAATCAGAAATTACAGCCAAAAACTCACTAGAGGATGAAGCAAGACTTTTGTTTTTCTTCCTAGATGCTATTTCAGCTTGCTGTACAATTGGCTGTGGATCTACACCACCACGGTCAAATTTACATTCAAATGGCAATAAATGCTTGATGTACTGTTTCCGCAGAGTGTAAGCTGCACTAGAAGAAGCTCCAATTCCTACACATCCTGCAACATCTTTCCAGTGTTTAGATTTTGTTACCTAAATGAAAGAACAAAATATGCAAATGATAGAACAATGGAAATTAAATACAACAGCTTTAGCTATTACTGTAAAGTTTGATAAAGAATAAATATTATAGTTAACTTCAAAATTTTCAATAGAACCTCATTTACAGTAAATTATACGAAATAAGAAGTTAGGAGTATAAAATAAACCAAAGTTTTAGATCTTGATTGTTTATTGGAAATAAATATATTTTCATAAGAATACATTTGATTATTTATAAATTTAATCCACTTCCATTACTACATATTAGTGAACAGAAATCATACAAAAAAGATCAAGATACATTTTTTTATTTATTTACTTGCTCTTGCTACTAATTCTTGAAGAAAAAGATTTATCAATAATTTTTATTTTTAGAGAATGATCCCGACATTGTCACATCTGTGCAAGTTTTTCAGTGGGGATATCTGAGCTTCAAGGACACTTCTACCTTATTGAAAATACCAATAAAAGAATCCTCTATGTTTGTACCATCAAAATTAAATCTTGTTTTTTAGTGACATCAATATTCAATCTTTCTCACCAAATATATGTGGAATTCTCAAACTATTCTAACCTTTCTATATTGGTATCAATACAGCGAGTTTAGTACTGTGTGAATAAAACTACTAATATGCTCAGTAAGCTGAAAATATGCATAGCTTTAAAACATTTTGAGTAATTTAGTGTTGTGCATAAACCAATAAAGAGTAGTTACAACAATGGACAACAAGGGCTCCTGAGGAGTGGATTTTTTCATTAAATAAAAAGTCTCAAGTAGAAAATTTTATAGAAACTTTATATCAAAACAGTAGATTACATAATTGAAGAAAAAAAATAAAGACAATTGTACATTTCACAAAAACTTCACTTATTCATGATCTGATGATACCTTTACTGGCAAAAACATGGTTGTGAATAAATGAAGTTTTTGTGAAATGTACAATCGTCTTTGTATTTTTTCTTCAATTCTGTAATAATGGAGTTTCACCAAGTACCAACAGTTTCAAGTATCAATTATATAAAACAGAAGATGTTCGTTACAATGGTGGTGTAAGCTAATCAGCAGATGGCAAAGACAATGTCAAAAGTAAACAGCAAGGTTTAAAAATTCTGTTTACTTACTACTGAACCATCGGGGGACAGGTTTAGAAAAAGGTAAATAATAAACAGATATATATGACATAAAGTTTGAAGGCATGAAATACAAAGAAAAACATAAACTGAAAGATAATAAGAAATAAATACTTTGTATTGCAGAAACATAAAAATAAAAAATCTTTTGAAGTTAATCCACATTATTTGATATTTTTTAACTGGACATTTTTTTTAATTCACACTTTTAAAGAAAAAAATTATAATTGTACAGATTCTGTTACATAGAACAAAAAATTGATTACTCTATAGGGTCTTGATTAATGTTATTAGAAGTTAGTAAGTGTTCAGGGTTATCCTGAAGACTTCATTCATTTCTCTGTATTGTACGAGTTTGTAAAGATAATGTAAAATTACACAGAAGTTTACAGAGACTGGAAGACCATTATAGCATCAGTTGTTGTAATATTCTCATTAAGTAGTTCTGGTTTATCAATTTTATATTAATAGTTGTACCTTTTTGCACTTTTATTACAAAATAGCATTGAAAAAAATTTTTTAGTTTTATTCAAAAAAAAAAAAAAATAATCAAGGGTCTTCATGAATTTGGTACAGCATGTTTCTGCAGGAACTAGTCTCTATTAGTAGCAGTTAAAGTTGATCTTAACATGATCCAAGAGGAATTTAATATTTCAAGAAAGAATGAAAACAACATGTAAAGATTCTTTTTAACAATTTAAGCTGAAGGAGATAAATACAGACAAGGTTTGTTTAACTGTGGATAGTAAGTGATAAACTAGAGAAAGCTGGGAATAGTGCTTACAGTTTGATTGTTGTATGACATTTTTTTTCATAAAAATGTTTCAGTTTATTTCTTTGCTTTATCATAGCTTTAAAATAGATCAATGTACATTTTTTATCGGTGAAGATTTTCTTAATCTTCAGTGCTTGATTACAAATAATGTTACATTTATGTGTGGAGGGTTGCTTGGTCTGTCTGTACTGCAACTATAGCCAACAAAAGTGAAGTGAATCTTTAGCATAATGTTGCATTATGCATTTTGGAGTTTATTGGTGTACAATATTAATCACCACAGCTGATTCTTGTTAGTTCACTTATAAGCTTACACTGAAGAGACATCATTTTTCATTTCAAAGTTGTCTGCAATCCAATTTGATATCTGATCAATCAGCATCTGGTGGTTAATGAGAAAGAAGGGTGTGACGTTCATATCTGAGTGTTTCAGTCAGTATAAAGAATACAATGATGTCAAGAAAGAGAGAGAAAACAAAGGGGAAGCCAATGTCTTCTACATTCTAAGATCATGCACTGAAGCTTTGTATAACATCTGTAGAAACCCATTATGAAGTCTTCTCTGTAGTGGAAGACTATAAAAGATGACATAGCTGCAAGTTCTAAGGTTGTCATCGCTGGGAGTGGTAGTGGGGATAAGCTCCTACTATCTATAAAATGCTCCCAAAGGCGTGCATCTCAAATAGCCTCTGACAACTAAGTCCAACTCCTGGCCTGCACGTGTGGCATCACTGTGCCCGGCGGAACTGCTTCTACTGACAGGAGAAGGGGCGAAGGCGGATATCTGGTGCCTTAAAACCAGTTTGCTTCGGGCAGATGGAGCTCGTCAGCCTGGGAGAGCAGTCCATCTAGGGGAAGGAAAACCCTGATTCTAAACCTCCGCTGCCTTGCGGGATACCCAGTTATGGGGAAGGCTTCGGGAGTTAACCCTGAGGAAAAATCTGGAGTGGAGCCCCGTAGTCGGTCAGGCGGCGTGCGATGTCACTTTCTGTCAACTTCAATAGCTGTGGCATGTGCAGCTACTACTTCCTGGTCCCCTGGAGATCTCGTTGTGGAGGGAATTGCCTGCCCAAGCATGTGAAGTCTGGTTACACTTAATTGCGCGGAAGAAATCTGTAACGGTTCAACGGGCAAATGAGCAATGACCAGCACGGCATTGTGGAGTGCGAAGAGCGCGGCGAGGCAGATAGGAAGTCGTGGTCATCCACTGCATCCTGATCTATCCCCAGTCGTCTTGACTTGTTCTTGCCACTGGATCCGGATGGGAAGGGACGAGAGAGTGAGGTCGACGACTCACGCAACTCTTCCTCACTATAATCCAAGTCCAGCGCACGTCACGACATCAACCAAAGTCCTGCGACGATAGGCCGATGGCAGTGCAGTAGGTGTGGACATCACTGGAATCTGTAGTCAAAAGCCTGCATGTTGGCTGTCCAGGACACAGGGTCGTTTTTCAACTGATGAGGCAGCAGGGGAATCCGGCAGCATCCTGGATGACTGAGCAGCCCTTTTTAGGAATGCTCTGCTCACCTCAATTGAGGAGGGGGCTAGAAAAGGTGCCCTAAACATAGCCTGTCTCAAATCCACTCTGGCTAGCAAACCGCGGCTGGCGGAAGTCCCACATAGCGGTCGAACAAATGAAAAATCGAAATTTAAGGTGCTTAAATTGGACACCTAGAACATAAGAACTCTTATGGATGGCTCGAGAACAGACAGACCGGAGCGTAGAACTGCACTTATTGCAAAAGAGCTGGCAAGGTACCACTTGGATATAGATGCACTCAGTGAGACTCGCTTAGCTGACAAGGGTCAACTATCTGAAGTGGGCACGGGATATACGTTTTACTGGAGTGGTCGTAACACCGATGAACGGCGCGAAGCAGTAGTAGGCTTTGCTATCCGATCTGATCTGGCTCGTACTTTACCACATATGCCCGAAGGTATCAATGACCGTCTGATGACGCTGCGACTACCGTTAACGAACAATAAGAACATGACGCTCATAAGTGCCTTTGCTCCAACGATGACTAATCAAGACGAAACAAAGGACATGTTTTACGAAGACCTCGAGTCTGTCATCACTTCTGTTCCAAGGTACGATAAGCTAGTCATTCTTGGTGACTTCAACGCACGTGTAGGCTCAGATCATGTGACCTGGGAGGTTGTGGTTGGGAAGCATGGTATTGGAACGTGCAACAGCAACGGCCTACTGCTACTCCGAACGTGCACCGCCCATGACTTGACCATCACGAATACTCTCTTAAGCTTGCCCACTTGCAACAGGACATCCTCGATGCACCTGCGTTCAAAACATTGGCACCTGATCGACTATGTCATTACTCGAAAGAATGATGAGCGCGACGTGAGGGTAACAAAAGACGTGTGTGGGGTAGAGTGCTGGACTGACAACCGTTTGATCATTTCCAGACTGGCTGTAAGAGTTGTGCCACGGAGAAGACCTCAAGGTCAAAAAATGTTAAGGAGATTGAATGTTGCCCGGCTGAAGATTCCTGAAGTTGCTGAGGCATTTCGGAAGGAACTGGAATATACCATCACGAATGCCGTGGCAGATGCTGATCCCGAAGAGCGGTGGACGAAGCTCCAAGAAGTTCTCCGTGCTACTGCTTCACAGCACCTTGGACCACTCAAACGCAAGCACCAGGATTGGTTTGAGGAGAGTGACAAAAAGATCCAGGATTTGCTAACCGAGAAGCATCAGGTCTTTATGGTTTACCAGAATGATCCTGCTTCGGAGTCCAAGAAAGTGGCTTTTGCAAATGCCAAGGGGAAGGTGCAAAAGGAACTGAGACAGATGCAAGATGCATGGTACGGTGCCAAAGCTAAGGAAATCCAAAGCTACGCCGACCAGAATGACAGAAAGCGCTTCTATGAATCATTGAAAACGGTTTATGGACCCAAGTGTGCTACCTTGCTCCCAATGTTGAGTTCAGATGGCAGCCGGCTCCTCGTAAACCAGAAGCAGGTTCTAGATAGATGGGTTGAACACTTTGAAGGCGTTCTGAACAGACCATCCGTTATAAACGATGAGGCCATTGACCG